CTGGCCTCAAAACATTTATGATTATGGGTATAGCTGCATAATGATACTATACAAACTTCTAAGATGATAATAGACTGTAGATTCCTCCCCTCAAAGAAATATGCAGGATTTAGTCAAAGAACACAAAGGTCTGCTTCCCCTAGTTCTCTAGGTAGCATGACTGACCCTGGGTAGAGGAGCAGAACTCCCTGACTTGAGTCAGATCCCTGAGTCAGATTAGGCATTCAGAATCTTGATTGTGGACTGTGAGTGAAAAATGACTTCGCAAAATAGATTAGTTAGCATGTCAGGTCAGTATTTAGCAATAAGTTCTTAAAAGATATGAAATATTTATTATATGTCACTATTGTTCAGTGAGCTCATTTTACTATAAATGCCTACTTTATCCTTATTTCTCTCACATTTCTTTGTCTTATATGCACTTACAGGATGCTTTCAAGAAAAAAGTTAGAATAGTTTCTGGCATAATACTTGTTCATCTCTGACTATGTGCTTTGGGAGAAATACAATCATAGTTGTATTTTAAGGGAGCAAGACTATCACACTAATATCTTCTTAATATCATTGTAAAGAATAATCTCCATGACTTTTTAGAAGCAGACAAAATTTATTTTGCCTATTTATAATGCAGAAATGTCATCATTTTCCTGAACTCAGCTTCCAGATGCCTTTGAATTCTACATCTTCCATTTCACACACTTTTTAATTAGTGGAGGCTCGCAGCGCTGGTCATTATCTTGGACTACTGCAGGTGATGCACTTTATCCTAGTTTGCTGGAGGATTATTTGCAAACATTCTTGCCATGTGATAGCTCCATTCCCCCTGGTCCACCTAGTCCTCCTGTTTCCCCAAGAGGTGTTTTGTCACCAGTCTCTCCTAGGTATGATATGTTATATTTATAGACCTATACTTTATGAGTAGTTTATGAATTTAATTGTGCTTGTAGATACTTGACTTTTGTTGTATTAAGAATTAACAACTTATTTTTATCTAGGAGCAGTGGACCTGGAAATGCCAACCTGTACCTGACAACTCTTGTATCACCAATTGCCTGCCGAACTGTTCGGACACCAGGACCCCATGGATATCCTAGCCATGAGGGGAGTGGTGCACATGCATCATCTCCACTACATGCGACACATAATCCTCATCCTCAGTTAAATATTTGGACCAGTCAGGTAAATTTGCTTAGCTTAACCTATTTGATCCAGATGCTGCACTGCCATCACGTGGCCCAAAATACGGGCATTAGGCTTACTTGCCACTCTCACGGATGTGTGGCTTGTAGGCTGGGTGGACACGAACACTCATGTGCAGTGACAAGACTTGATGCCTCCCTTTTGCAGTGTTATATTCTCTATTTCTGCATAAGCAATTTAATTTTTTTTTGCCATTTTCCAGTATCTACATCTGTCATTTGATTTGCTTTATCCGTATGGATTCCTTGTATATCATCTCTCTCTCTCTGTCTCTCTGTCTCTCTGTCTCTCTGTCTCTCTGTCTTTGTCTCTCTGTCTCTGTCTCTCTGTCTCTCTGTCTCTCTGTCTCTCTGTCTGTCTGTCTGTCTCTCTCTCTCTCTCTCTCTCTCTCTCTCTCTCTCTCTCTCTCTCTCTCTCTCTCTCTCTCTCTCTCTCTCTCTCTCTCTCTCTCTCTCTCTTTTTATTATTATTATTATTATTCAATTTTCTGTGATACAACCTGCACCGCTGGTCACAGCAGCCAGGAATAGGACCCTGTACATGGAAATAGCATCCTCCTTGGAGCTGGTGCTCTTCCAGTCATTGTTCATGGACAACACATTCCACATTCGTTTATTGATGGAATAAATGCAAAAGCCCCTTCCTAATCACCCTCCAAGAGCTTTGTGTACTTGTAGCGAGTCATTCCCATCACCCCATCCTTCAGATGAAATGCTCATGACGGCAAGTTTGCATCACCCTAGCCCATAGCCAAATATTCTCATGACATGTTCATGTCACCCACCTCTGAAGTCAGATTTTTTCATGATGTAATGGTCACTTCATCTAGATCTTCGGTGTTAATAATGCTTTTTACTTCAAAAATTGAAAATTTGACACCAATTTGTAATATAACAATATTTAAAACAATTAGAAGGTTGTTTAAAGTCCTGACTTTCTTGTTTTAGGTTTTAGTGCAAGTCCTCTTTGAGATGTGGGTGAATCAGTGCCTTTCACCTTCAAGATCTCCAGGGCGTTCACCACCTTCTTCCCCTTCAGCTCCTCATAGCAATCAAGTAAGATCTGTTTATAGAAAGAGGATGACTGTGACAGGAATGTTTTGTTTGTAAATCCTGGTGATATGAAAATTGATGAGTTTTTTTTTTGTCTATGAAGTTGTTAGAGTCTGTGGTAATATAATAACACCGACATGCAAAAGAAAGGGGTGGGTTGTGCTTATATTGCATTTGTAAGTAAGAAAAGAATTTTAGTGTGTAGGAGCTGCATTGGTATTTTGATGGGAGGACCTTAAAGAGTTTAA